AAAAACAAAATTTTAAAAAATAATCTATAAAAATAAAAAGGTATTAAGAAAATTATGCTAACAATTGATTAGAGATGCTGTAAGGTATTTGTAATTCATAGAAGTCTAAAGCTAAAAGTGGGGGTATGTACACTTCACATACTGACTAAAGTGCTAGTCTGGATGCCAGCAACCCATTTGGGTTCAATTCCCAGTTTCACTCTTGATTCAAGCTTCCTGCCAACATGTACCCTGGGATACATGTTATACAAGATATGGTTGAAATGGCAGGTTCTCTACCCAAAGCCTTGGGACCCTACACCCACGTTGGAGACCCAGAAGAGGCTCTGGGCTCCTGGCTTCAGATCAGCTCAGATCCAGCTGTTGCAGCCACTTGGGGAGTGAATCTTTGGATGGAAGATCTTCCTTTCTGTCTCTCCTCCTCTCTGTATATCTGACATTCCAATAAAAATAAATAAATCTTTAAAAAAGTGTAACTTTAAAACACAGTGATACAGGCCATTGTTGTGGTTCGGTGGGTTAAACCACAGCTACAATGAGAGCTTCCCATATGAATGAAGGTTTGAGTCAGTGCTGCTCCTCTTCCAATCCAGCTTCCTATTAACATGCCTGGGAAAGCAGAAGATGGTATAAGTGCTTGGGCACCTGACAGAATCCCAGTCTCCTGGGTTCAACTTTACCCAGGTCTGGCTGTTGCAGCCATTCAGGACGTGAACCTGTGGAAGGAATATTTCCTTGTAACCCTGCCTTTCTAATAAATAAATCCTTCATTAACGAAATAATAATAAAGTGAGGACACTTGCAGATCATGGATCAACTAGTCTACCACCCCGATTACAGGTTACAAGGCATTAAGGGACTGTCCCAAGGTCCCATGCTACATTCCTCTCTTCCTTCTCAGGGATAAAGAGTTGTCAAGGACTCAAAAAAGAAGTAATTTGCTGTACTTATTCTGTAGATGGCTACTGAACACCTATTAATGCAAGACATTATTTTAGGTGTCAGGTAAATTAACAGTAGCACAAATAAGGTTTCTGCACTTATAGACTCTTCCCTCTAGAAAGGAAGGCAGGGTAAAAGATAAATAAAATCATAGAAGATGACAGGGACTATTCCAAATAAAATGTAAAGCGGATTGCAACGGCAGAGTGGTATTGCTCATGGAAGGTCTCTCTGATATCATCTGAGCTTGTAAGCACTATAAGAAAGAGATGGAAAAGGTCATTTCAGAAGAGGAAGAGGGTGAATTTCACACAAATAGCAAGAACAGAAAGCATCTAAGGAAAAACAGATCAAGACAGGGGTTATATCATGCAGATAACTACTTTTGAGTGCAAAAGAAAGCTATTATGAGATTGTAAGCAAGGAAATGACATCATCCAAACTGTAATTTTAAGAGATTACCATATTTTGGGCATAGTAAAAAGACTATTTTAAAGGAGAAAGCATTTTTGGGAAAAACACTATATTAACTAGCTGAATTAGAATGTCTGAAGAGGAAAGATGAATGATGAGATTTAAGGGATCCTTACCAACAATGCTGCAGACGGGGATAAGTGAGGAAAAATGAGGAACTAACGGTGAGCTGAGTAAGCAAATGGGGTATCTCACTCACAAAAACACATTCTACAGAGTGGGTTCCAAACCAAAATTCCTATTTGATTGTGTTATTCTGAAGTTCCAAAATACAAGCTGAGTTACCCAGAAATCAAATTTCCATATGCTTTCATCTATTTCAGGATTTAAATTTTAACATACTTAGAATATAGAATAAAAGTCCAACAACTGTGTTGTGAGGCATTCCCAAGGAAACATTAACTCTCATAGAGTTAAAGCACTTTGTTTATGGAAACAGCAATATACTTGCTGAGTCAGGAGTACACAAACAAAAGTGGTATGAAGTCATAATACAAATTCCCTATTCCCTCCCCCTCCCTGTTTGATTTCTGTTAAGTTCAGACAGCATGCTTATAGAATAAGCACGGTTTCCCAAATACGCTTTGTTTTAGAACTGAAATTATAATTCTTCAGTTTAAGGCATTCAACAACTCCAAAACTAAAAATGAAAGTACTAATTTTAGTCAAACCTACAGAATTCAAGCAACTGTATCTGTGATAATTTACAAAATTACCACAGAAAAGAACAGTTCTCCCTATCTTGTGAACTCATACTGCGACTGCACCTCTTGTTTCCTCCCATGACTGAAGAGCAGCAATCTGCAAGACAAGGTAGATCCCTGCATCCTGGATCTCTGATCAATCAAGGAAGTAGAAAGCCCACCAACCCTAACAGACATGCACCACAAGCAAAAACAAAGTAACTTTTGTTTCATTGAGATTCTGGAGCTGATGAGTAGCAGCATTACATGTCCATCTGTTCTATTTGATATCACATTCTACTACTTACAACCTAGGAAATGTAAGTGCTTCAAAGGGCTAGAGTCCAGAAGGAGAATATCAGCAACAGGAACAGCGTGTTCATACTATCCTTCTAGGAGGAGCCAAGTACACCCGAGAACCAAGCAGAAGTAGAGCCAAAGGGCTGGATTAAATACATTGTTTCGATGATTAAATGTCCAATATTTTTAAGTCAAATATCAAATTGTACAATTATCCCTACTGCACACTAGACAATATGAAACACAGTTATAAGCTAGGTAAGACCCCTTCTTCATAGTATTTATAAACTGACAGAGCTATTTATTACTCTCTTTCACTTTCCTGAAGAGGTTTTCAAATTCTAGTACTTAAGAACAATCATAATTTGTCTCAATCTTTAATTACCTCCAGTCATAACTAAATCATATCCCTTTTTAAATGTGTACTGTTAGTTAAATATTTGTTACGTACCAAGTTTCCTTATGGTTTGACTTTATTACTCACTTTTCCCCTTAGATTTCCTGACAATTTCTTCTGCCTATCGGCAATTCTTTCTTTCCTGGCTTCCCTCTGGAAATTACTGCTAAAGGACCAATGAGACATAGCTATAGGCCCTAGGGCATCTCATCAACATATTTGCAAATAATGACTCAAAATTAAACCAGCTCAAGTATTTTCCTTGGTCCCTACATCTAAACATTTAGTTGCCTATTTGACATCACCCACTGCAGTATCTCAAAATCATCTCCAAATTATACCCAAAGTTATATCTTCTTTTACACATCAATGTTGTAAGACTGAGAGGCTGCCCCTATCTCAGTGAGTAGCAATCACGCTGCTTCTCAATTCAGAAACCTAGGACTTAACTCTTGTCCAGCCCTCTGACAGCACTACATCTTTTCCTGTGTGCCTACATATTTTCCAAACAGCCTTTATATCCACAGTATTCCTTATATCCCTCCCTACTGCTGCCTGGTCCAAGTTCATCCTTTTCCAAGTAGATCTCTAAAACTTCACTGGAAACTTTGAGGCTGCTGCTCACTTTTATCTACTCTTCTTCCCACATCCTCAATCATCCTGTAGCAAATGTGATCTCTGAAAAATCGAAGTCTTATGGGTCATCTTAAATCTGCTCTGTTCAAAACTCCTCAGTGTCTTCTTACCACTCTTGGGATTAAAATAAAACAAACACAAAGAAGGCCTACGTTATCTGGCCTCAATTTACAACTCTAGTGTACTCTAGTGTCAGTCTTTCCCATGCTATCTCTACTTCCACACTAAACTGCACACATATTCTACTGGCCTTAGATCAAGTGTTTTTAAGACTCCCCTAAACTCCTTAATTAAGTCAAATGCCTTTTTTGGAGATTCTCTAAATTTCCTTTATATCATTAATTAAAGTTGCAATTACACACTTATTTACATAATTGGTTCTTTGACTAAGACATATCTGTTTACTCAAGTGACGTTCACTAAGTCAGTGTTCTATTGGGTGAGTCATTCTTTCTCAGTCCTTTAAATTACTGTTGTATTTTTAATTACATTCAGTTTTTTAGTACTTAACAGCAGTATTAAGCAGGTAGTATTTCTAAAAGGTAGAAAAAACACACAGCTAAAAAACAAAAAATATTCAGATTCAGATTTAAAAATTTGCCTTCCTGGCTTGGCGCAGAACAGTTAGTAACTCTCCTGCCTGAAATGCCTATGTGCCCAGCTGCTACACTTCTGATCCAGCTCCCCACAACCGCCTGGAAAAGCAGCAGAAGAGAACCAAATGTTTGCAAACCGGTTATCCATTTGGGAGATCAGTATGGAAGCTTCAACCTGTATGGAAGCTTCAACTTGGCCTAGCGCTGGCAGCTGCAGTCGTCTGAGGAGTAAACCAGTTGGAAGATTTCTCTTTCTGTCTCCTTCTTTCACTCTCTTTTAATACAAATTTATTTTTATTTAAAAAAAAAATCTTCCTAAATCCTTAGGCAGTGTTTCCTAATATTTTTAGTTATAAAATCCTTTGAATATTCTGGGGAAGCTGACATCCATAATAGTGTCTTGGATTTTACAGAATACCAGGCTTACATTTTTTTTTTATTTAAAAAATATATTTGAAAGAGAAAAACAAATCTTCTACTCCCCAAACGCCTATTAACTGCTGGAGCTGGGCCAGCAACTCAATCCAGGTCTCCCAAATGGGTAATAGGGAAGCAAGTACTGCAGTCATCAACTGCTTCCTTTAGGGTGTACATTACCACGAATGCTGCAGAGGCAGAGCCAGGACTAGAGTCCATGCATTCTGATGCAGGATGTGGGCATCAGAAGCAACCGTTTAATTATTATGGCAAATGCTCACCCTCCCTCAATTTATAAAACAAAAAAATCAGGAAGGTTAAATATTCGTCTGCCTGAAATACAGTTTTCATGACACTTTTTTAAGCGGTATTACTTTGGTCTAGAAAGAAAATGTGTAAACACTTCCAACATGGAATTTATGCGCCCAAAGCTACTCTACATAAATAAAGGGTACTGTTATTCTTTAAACTGCCAGACTTCTAATAGTCAACATAAAATTCACAATACAATTAAGACTGGTGGTATAACAACATTAAGAAACAAAATAGACATACCTCCTGTTCTTCCATTACCAATCTGCACAGCAGGTTGAAGGCTTCCTTCATTTTTCAATAAATGAGGCAAATGATAATAAATACTTGGCACTTGAAGAGATTTTTTGCTTGTTAACTCTTTTAACAGTTTTATGGTATTATCTGTAATACAGAAGTTCAATCAACTACAGGAACATCTTGTTTTATAAAATGAGAATAAAAAATTGTAATAACTAAAGAATTTTTTTCCTAATTTCACACTTTGGTGAGGGAAATTCTCCATTCAAAATGAAAAAGACATGTTTGCAACTCAAGTATCATAGTTATGACACTGAGAAAACAGACTGAGGAAAGCCTGAATATCCATTTATAGAAAACAAAACAGCACTTTGATCACCAGTAACTTTTTTTCTTCAGGCATTTTTATTTTATACGAATTTCAAAGATATATTTTTTCTAAAAACTTTAAGTGTTATTTAAACAGAAGAAATGGGGAATATGTATTACAGATAACTTACAAATTTGTTCCATTAGAGAAACCAATGAATCATTAATAATATTAATGAAATAAAAATTTGGTGACATAAAAATATTACTTGAAATTCTTGCCAAACTAGCATTTATAATATGTGTGTGTATAAAGTACATATACATATATGTAATATAAAATAGCATGATTTAACCCAATGATACTATATTATGATCCTTTAGAAAGCAAAATTAGTAATGACTTTCTTATTAGCTACAAAATACTAGCCTCATATCTAGTCATACTGTAACCCATAAAAATAATTATTAAATACATTAATTTATCAATCAGATTAAGAAGAGCAGAGGAATGGAAAATAACTGGCATCTATTTTACTCTGACCAGAAGTCCTCAGGGAAGGAATAAGTCAGACGCTTCCAAAAATATCCATCATATAATCATATTACTCTTTATTACAAATCATTCTTAAGTGTACCAATTGCATCTAATAGTTTAAAGACTTTCTCAGAGCCCATCTTAAGTCCATGTGAGTCACAAAACAAATATAAAGCTAACCTCATTTTAGATGTTTTAAAAAATGTAGGTTCTTCATTATTATCAATGAAATATATACAGCTAAAACTTAACTATTACTCTTAAAATCAGATATCTCAATTAGTAACAGTTATTTTATAATTTATCAGAACAGAATGTTTTCGGTAATTTTTGTTGCTAAAAGGGATAACAGCATAACTGATGTACTATTTTGCAGAAATTGAGATTTATTTCAGTTATTTAAAAATACTTTTTATACAACAACAAAAAGTTTGTACCTGAAAACTTATTTAATGTATCCTTACTTCCATTTGTTTCTGCTCCTACATTCCTGAACTGCTGTACAATGGTATTTAATTCAGAGGTGCGCTGTGAAATTCTATGTTCAGCAATTCGAAGGCGTTCTTTCAAAGCAAGAAATTCTCGTTGGTAAGCAATCAATTTTTCTAGAAGCAAAACCAAAAAGTTGTTAGTGTATTTCCACCAAAAACAGCAAAAAGTACAATAGTCCAAATACAACCATAAGATGAGGACTGTTTAAAGGTTAGTTTTTCAGAAGAAAATTATTATTTTGCAAGTAGAATAGTATAGACTGCCAGGTCCAGAATACTGTAGATAGAGCAGATTGGTTCAAGCACACCACACTAAAAAAAAATAATAATAATACAGGGTAGAGTTTAGTTCCTGTTTGGTAAACTCACACCCCATATGGGAGTGCTGGTTAAGTCTCAGCTTCTCTGCTTTGACTTCACTTCCTACTGAAGCCCCAACATAGGAGGGAACTCAAGTTCTTGAGTCCCTACTAGACCCAGAGAGAGTTCTGGGAATTAGGCTTCAATCAGGCCTACAAAGAACAGAAAGGGTCATTTTGGGGAGTAAACCAGCAGACGGAAAATATTCTTCATATTAAAATGTGTATTTGGAAAAAAACCTGAAATACCATGACTGCACTGTACATTCAGTTGTTTCCTTCTTCATGTGTACAACATCAGAAGCTTCCATTAAAAATTAGACAATGCCTCAATGTTGGTTTTTAATTATCATATGCCAGGGCCAGCATGATAGCCTAGCAGCTAAATCCTCAACCTGCATCTGCTGGGATCCCATATGCACACCAGTTCATGTTCCAGCTGCTCCACTTCCCATCCAGTTCCCTGTTGATGGTCTGGAAGAGTATTGGAGGACGGCCCAAAGCCTTGGGACCCTGCACCCTTTTGGGAGACCTGGAGGAAGTTCCTAGCTTCAGATCAACTCAGCTCCCACCATTGTGGCTTTCACTATTGCACAGTGAACCAGTAGATGAAAGATTTTTTCTCTTTTCCTTCTCCTTTTCTACTTCCTCCTCCTCCTCTGTAAAATCTGCCTTTCAAATAAAAACAAATTAAAACAAAAACCATATGCCACTTTAAAAAAATCACAACTCTTTTAAAAGAAAGTATTTTTTAAAATACTTATTTACTTGAAAGTGCAACAGAGCACATGAAGTTTTCCATTTTCTTGTTCATTCTCCAAGTAGCCAGTTCTGGCTTAGACCATAGCCAGAAGCCAAAAATTTCATCCCAGTCTCCCCTATGTCACCAGAGGCCAAGTACTTGGGCCATATACTACTAATTTCCCAGCTGCACAGCAGGAAATCGATATAGAAGCAGAGTAGCCAGATTTGAACCAACACTCCTAATACAGAAGACTGGCTATACAAGTAGCAGCTTAACTTATTATGTCACAACCCAGCCCCTGGAAATGAACTTTAAAACGAACTTAAAACTTTGTCTACAAGTGAGAATCCATAGTATACAATGATAGAATATGTCAACAGGGCACAAGAGGCTATCCAACTAATTCCACTGGCCAAAAACAGAAATTTTAAACATCAAAATTAGATACAGATAACTACAACTCAAAGTAGGAAATAATGAGTCTATACTAATAATAAAGATATAAAAATCAAGAGGGAAAAGTTTTTACAGTAGAGTGTCAATAAATGTACAAAAAATGATTGTTGTTGGAAAATCACCATTTTGCTACCATTATGGAAATAACTAATTTAGGCAAGAATCAGAAACGGATGCTAAAACTAGCACACACAATTCAAAAACGGATACTAAAACTGGTAAAATCCGGAGAGGAACAGGATATTTATATCACCTCAAAATATCTTCTGACAAAGTCTTCATTAATTTACAAAAGGAAAACAATCTTTCCAGAGAAGTCTGGTAGACATTACCTTGATCAAGTGATCCAAGCTCAGGTCAGTAATCATGGGATAATGATAATGTCCCCCTTAAAGTTAAGCACAGAAGACACCTCCCAATGAAATGTTCTGCCAAAGCTGCATCACCTAAATCTAATCTCAAGGAAACATCATACATATCCCAATTGGGAAGCAATGTATAAAGCACATGACTTATACTTCCAACAATGTCAAGGTCATCACAAAAGCTGAGGAAATGTCCCACGGTAAAGACTAGTGGAGCTTGGTTACTGAAATCCAGACACAGCTGTGGACTGGATCCTGGATCAGGAAAAAATAAAAGCTATCAGAATATTACTTGAAATTTTTAAAAAAATGACTAGATAAATTATGACAAATTTCTGAATTTGACACTTGCACTGTAGTGACACAAAAGACCATCCTTATTTTTAGGAAATGAACACTAAATTATTTAGGGATAAAGGCACATGATCTCTGCAATGGGTCTGGCAGGAAGCAAAGACTTACAGGCAGATGATGAAGGCAAGATGTTCACAATAGGTACATATTTTGGCATGTGTACATACAACTCTTCATTTCTTCACCTCAGTATTTTTAATATAAAGTTTTTAAAAGGGAAGCAGAAGAAGATGACTAATACAGGTTCAGTCTTTCCACAGCTCTTGAGTGATCAGAGGGTTTAGAGTTTGAAAGCAACCTCTCTACATGTATTCATTTTCTTGGTATTGTAAGTTACCCTCCCAGAGGCCAATTTCAACCAAGTCAAGATAACCATGCCTAGCAGAAAGATACCTTTACCCCAATTCCAAACAGTGCCCCACTTCAAAGTGAACTGGCCAAACTTTTCAAAAACTAATTAGAAAAGTTCCACTGTGCCCATGGACTATGGAATAAGGTGACAAGTATTTTCTTTTTGGTGCAGATGCTATTCTTAGTCCCTAATCCAGCTAGGGAAAAGCTCCAGAAGGGGTCATTTCCCATCTTCTCACATCCGTCCTTTGTTGCTGACTCCACCCCTCTATATTAAAAAGTGTTCCACTACATCAGGGAAAATTCAAACTCCACACAGAAAGTGAAGCTAGCGTTCCAGAATTTTTATAATTTCCCTGTAATTTTCTCCAGTCCCCCAAACCTATCCTGCACTGTGACAAGGAGCATATTGGCCTTCAATTGTGTAGTTCGAACTTTAACATAAAAAAAATTCCTTTAAATAATGATATGTGCTTAGCAAGTCTCTATTTCCAACATTAGCAGCAAAATTCTTACTTACATTTTTCCTTAGATCATTTTAAACAGCATCTGGGGGTTGGGGGTTTGTGACAGGAAATTGTGAGAGAAAACTCTTCACTACCATCATACTGAAGTTACTGGTTTTGTTTTTATTTAGATTGAATTTTTAAAAAATTATTTATTTGAAGCTAAGAGAGAAGAGAGAAATTTTCCATCTGTTAGGTCATTTCCCAAATGGCCATGAAAGGGTTAAGCCATCCAAAGCCAGGAGTTTCATCTGGGTTTCCTATGTAAGCCATTTCTTCTGCTTTTCCTGAACTACTAGCAGGAAGTTAGAATGGAAATGCAGTTTCTTGGACATGAACTGGTACCCGTATGGGATACCAGCATCACAGGCAGCAGTTTTTACCTGCTCCAACATGTCAGCTCCAGAATCTCTTTTTACACTTAAGATTGTGAGCCTCATAAAACTTCCAAAGGAATAACTCACAATCATATATTATCAAGTAGAAACAGTAAGCCTCTGAGTCAAGTGAAACTTCTAATATCTGATCATCTTTTAGATGACAATGTCAATTTTTAAATGGCCCACCAATTTAAATTACAGCTTTGTACACAAAATTCTCAACAATAAGTTCTACAGCTGACTAAGATGAAAAACACACTAATAAGTAATTCCCAATGTATAATAGATAAAAACGGGAAAATAAACCTTTTGCTCAACCATTAACTACAACATGCAGAGGATACTACTGAATTCTACAAACTAACAAAAACTAGTTCATGTCGGAAACAAAAGCACTAAAACTTCTTTTAATTTCCCTAATTTTTACAATTTTATAATTGAATTAAACAATATAACTCTGATACTGGGAAGAATGTTGAGAAACTATCTGGTCCATACCTCCATCCTTTAAAATTATACTGAATTCGTTCATTTATTTATTTATTTTAATTAGGATTGAGGAAAAACGAGATTCCAAGATTGACAAGCTGCACTTTTCAGGAAGTTTTACCTTTGAAAAGCAGTTCTCAAGAAGAAAAAAAAAGTCTCATTCTTCTTATAATCATTTTAAAATAGAAAAAAAAAGACCTATATTAAATTGTTGGATATTTCCTACTTACAAACTTTTTGAAAGATGAAAAATAACAGGACTCAGAAAGAGGTTCAGGAAAATGAAAGCCTAGAAAAGTCAACAGATACCATGAGCAGTTCAGCGGATGGAAGAGCTTTCTGTCTTTTCATCTCTGCAAATCTGCCTTTCCATAAAAATGAATAAATCTTAAAAAATGTTGATAACCAGGATCTATAAAGAGATCGGGAAATTTAACAATAACACAATCCAGTTAAGAAATGGACAAAGGGGCCCGGCACGGTGGCGCAAGTGGTTAAAGGTCCTCGCCTTGCACGCCCAGGATCCCATATGGGCGCCGGTTCTAATCCTGGCAGCCCCGCTTCCCTTCCAGCTCCCTGCCTGTGGCCTGGGAAAGCAGTCAAGGACGGCCCAAAGCTTTGGGAACCTGCACCCACGTGGGAGACCTGGAAGAGGCTCCTGGCTTCGGACCGGCATAGTATCGGCCCGTTGCGCTCACTTGGGGAGTGAATCATCGGATGGAAGATCTTCCTCTCTGTCTCTCCTCTCTGTATATCCGCCTTTCCAATGAAAAAATAATAAAAAATAAATCTTTAAAAAAAAAAAAAAAGAAATGGACAAAGAACACTGAAGGAGCTGAGTATGTCAGTGGATAAGGAGGCTTATTACAAGCCAGGAACTCTTGGTGCAGTGATGCATCTTGGAGCAGGCAAGTCCCCATGCCATCTCTACCCTTCATGCCTCCCACCAGTCCTAACAGGAGGAGGCCTTAAACCCAATATTATCTCTTCTTTTTGCCTTTTTTCGTGGTAAACTGTTAATCCCCCTTTCTGGCTTTTTTTCAATTTTAATTAACATAAGAAAAACAATTCTAGAGACTGTTAATTTCACCCAAAACAATGATTAAGCA